GAGGAGCGGAGAGGCCGCCTGGAGTTGGAGCTGCAGAGCCGCGAGCAGGAGCTGGAGCGCGCTGGGCTGCGGCAGCGGGAGGTGAGCGGCCGCCGGCCCTCCCGGCCCGGGCTCCGCGTCCTCACCGCCCTCACCGCCGCCCACGCGCGCCACGCTAGTCTGCACCCCCCACACTTCCCCAGTTGGAGCGGCAGCTGCAGGCCCGGACCGCGGAGCAGCTGGAGGCGCAGGACCAGAACGCGCAGCTGTGGCGGGCCCACGAGGCGCTGCGGGCGCAGCTGGAGGACGCCCAGGAGCAGCTCCGCAGACTGGAGAGCGACGAGCGGAGCCGCCGGGAGCAGACCCAACGGTGCCCGGGGGCGGCGCTACGAAGGGTCCCCAGAGGCGTGTCCCCGGGGAGGGGGCGGGCCGGCGGGCGCGGCGGGGCCAGGGCGAACCCAGGGTCTGAGGGGTGGAGGAGAGACGGAGGGTCTTCTAGGGAGTCCCGGGGCGCCCCGAGGAGCCTAGCTGCAACCGGGTCACCACCTGCCACCCACAGAGACGTGGTCGCGGTCTCCAGGAACATGCAGAAAGAGAAACTCAGCCTCCTACGGCAACTGCAGCTGCTCAGGTGCGGCGAGGCTTAGGCCGTGCCAGGAAGGGGGCTCAGTGGAGCTTGGGGGCTCCGAGCTCCCAATTATTCCTGGCCAAAGCCCCGTCTCGCTGAGAGGACGTCCTTTCTTAGGTCTGCCCTCGATCCCTCATGCTGCAGCCCCAGCTAGACACCCCTCTTCTGGTCTGAGGGGAGCCAGAGCTCGCCTTCCCCGCCCCAGGTTGCTGCCTCCTTGAGATCATGAGATCCCTCAGACTTCTGAGAGTCCTCACACTCCCTGTCCCCCAGGGAGCTGAACACCCGGCTGCGCGATGAGAGGGATGCCTGTGAGGCCCAGCGGCTGGGCAGTAGTCGCAGGAAGGCTCTGGCCACAGCCCGCCTGCCTGGGCCCACCTGCTGCTGTTGCTGCTGCTGCTGCAGTTGGGCTCGTTCTGAGACACGGCTCTGGCCACCTTCCCAGTGCTAGATGACCAGCCCCCCGTGACTCACTGGGTGTTATCTGGAGAAGCTGCCCCTTGGAGGCGACTCGTCCTGGGTGGGGGACTGCCCATTCAGGATGTGGCTCTACCCAGCAGGCATGCCTGATGGAAGACATGTAGGAACTAATCTGGAAGTGGTCAGGGTCTCCTGTGCCCCCTGCCAGTCTTCATCCTGTCCCCATCCCATTAACCATCTCTGCCCAGCAGAAAAACCTCCTCTGCCAAATAAAGTCCATTGACTGCACCGTGGCCTCCTCGGCTTTCTATGTGTCTGGGAGCCCCAGCACGTATGTGGCACACGGCACATGCGTGAGGTGTCCATGGCACACGTGTGACATGTGAGTGGTACACATGTGCTCATGGCCCTGCAGGGCTTTGGCTGTGGGTCCCTGCGTGCATGTGTGTGTCCTCTGTGTCTTGGGTCATGCCCTAAGGCCTCATGATCCATCAAAGCTGAAGCCCCATGGGGACTGAGCCAGCAGACACCTCCCACTGTCTCACCAGGAAGCACCAGGTTGGTCTGCCACCCCGTCCCCATGCCAGTCCTCACATAGCCCTGGGTTGAGCCCCCTGCAGTAGGGCTGGAGCTGCCCACCTGGTGCTATGAATGAACGAGCCTGGTGGGTGGGAAGCCCCTTACCCCTTCCCCAGTCCCATCCAGCTTCCTTCCAGGACCAGCCCAGAGGCAGGCCCTGTCTTTCCTCCCTCGCCACTGCCGGGCCCCACGCTGTCCAGACTGGGGCGTCTCTCACAGAGACGTCCACGCTGTCCCCCACGCTGCACGCAGAGTCGCCCCTCTCCACCCACCGCGCCTCCGGATCCTCCGCCGACGCCCGCAGCCCCTGGGTGGTTCCTGGGGTAGGACAGCCGCCTCTTAGCCACGTTGTGGCACGAAGTCGGCAGGGAAGCCTCCGGCCACTCGGGGAGTCGAGAGTCAGAGGGTTTATGAGGCGCGGGACCCCGGGGAACTCTCGCTGTGAAGTCGTGGGACCCTGAACGTGAGTGTGACACGGTCTTTATGGGCCTTAAGCTGATCGTCTTAGACAGCAGCTGGTTTAAGTTTCTTCTCACCCACTGACTTAGGCGAACAGGCCAGTTAGAAGGGCAGGCGCGGCACGCTCCAGGTGACAAAGCCGAGTGCCCGCAGGCAGGTGCTTGTTGGCGCGGCTGAGCTCTGGGGGCCCCGGGCGATGAGCACAGTTAGTTACGGAGGCATTTACTAGTTGGTCAGAATTTAGTTTTGGGCCGGCCCGGTGGCGCACTGCTACAGTGCGCCGCTTGCGAAGCGCGGTGGCGCTCCCGCCGGAGGGTTCGGATCCCACATACAGACCGGTTCCCGCTCACTGGCTGAGCGAGGTGCGGGCGCAACACTGAGGGTTGCGATCCGTTGCCGGTCCCGGTCCGGTACGGGGACAACACTGAGGGTTGCGATCCGTTGCCGGTCACGAAAAAAGACAAAAAGAAAAAAAAAAAAAAGAATTTAGTTTTGGATTTTCTCTACACCCGCAGTCCAGGGCCTCCGGCCTGGCTCTGCCTCCCGCCCAGCTCCTCTGCCTCCGGCGGGGTGGGCCTTGCCGGGCTGTGGGCGCCCCCGGGGCTGCAGCTCGCCAGGCCTCCGCCGTCCCGGGTGGACTCCAGCGCCAGCACCGCCCGGTTCAGACCTGCCCGGCGTCTGCGGGCCGGGGTCGGGGCGGGGCCTCGGGCGGGGTCGGGGTCGTGGGCGGGGCCGTGGGC